GCTGGCTGGATCAGGCAGACGCGCCCTCCAATCAGGCAGTGTAGAGGGCCGCCCGCAGTGGCCTCGGAAGAGCGAGCGGCCGCCCGATGACAGCCAGGTGATCGTGTCAGGGAGAGGGAGCCATGGCTTCGTTTAGCGGGGGTCATGACGGCGCCCCCCCTCAGTCCTGCGCCCGGCGCAAGTGACCCCCCCGCACCCCCGGTTGTTACGCCACTGAGTGGCAGCATACATAGCTTTGAACAGGAAGTTTATGTTACCTGCATGTGTCTTTAATTTTCTATTACGACTAAAGGGCATCTTTAAGGGTATGTTCACCTAAAGGTGGTATTGTAGTTCTAGGTAGACGCTTGTGACCTAGACGCAGTTGTAGACAACTGATATCTTTAAGATACACAGGTCACAATCACCGTTCCTAACTGCGCCCAAAATGTGAGAACCCTGTTGGTTTATATATTTTACATGACTAAGAATGAAGCAGGAGCTTTGATATACGTGCTACTGCTTTGTTGATGGTGGCACACAGGGAATGCTAACAGTGAGTTCTTAGTGATGCCCTTAAATTATATTTATATAAGAACTTTTAAACAATTTAGGATGTTTTGAGGGGTCTGATCACACAAGATGTCACATAAAATTAGGTATGGGTCAAGATATGTAAGGGGTGTGCAGAATCCCAGCTCTGTTGCTCCATTTCAAAACATACATTATTTGATGCACCCAAAACCCACTACTTGTCATCAAAGGTGTCGTCTTTTATTCCTTGTCCTCTAATCTCTTAAGCTGGCCATGCACTGCTCTATTTGTTTTTGTCTAACCCGTGGGCTGAACGGAAAAAAAATAGAGCAGATTCCTACATCAACGCTACAAACGCGTTGATTGAGGAATCTCTGCTGTTTACTTTGTATTCTGACAGTTGGCGGCAGCTCATTGGCTGCTGTCTCTGTTCGCCCAAGCGATGCCGGCTGAAAGGATGCCAAGAGAAGCGCCCACTGTACGGATTCTCACAGTGCAGTGCTATCTTTAGAATGGTCAGAACGTTTGTTGTCCTTTCTTCTTGAGAACACAAGAGGAGGATAAATTACCTCTCCTATAGGATGAAAGGGGAAATTACTCCCTGTTTCCTACAAACACCATATGCTATCTTTTATAGGTCCAGTGGAAAGAAAAACTTACTCGAATACCTCTATACAGTGTTCATGCACAGTGTTGTATATAAACCAAGGAACCACATTAATGTAAAAGACTTTTCCTATACAGCTAAATAAATGCATAAAATCAAATAAATGGTGCTCATAACAAGGCCATTTGTGCGGGTAAAGGTTCACAATTGTTTTTAAATCAAAAACTTTCCTAAAGGCATTGTGTAGTTCTCAATCATTATAATAAGGCGTACACTTCAAACATCCAGGAGACTGATGTTTTACATATAAAGATAACTGAGTGTGTGCATTGTCATTAATGCAGAGTTTATGTAACATCCGGAAAGCTACTGTGCAATTAAATTCAAACTAGAAAAATCTGACCTGGGTAAAGTGAACCACTAAACACACAAGGAATCTAAATAAAGATGGTCGTTGCTTATAGTTAATTTCCATATAATTTTATGCATCTTTACACTTACCTCGGTAAACACACAGATTTTATTTCGTTCCTTCACAAATGGGAATGGGAAGTGAACATAACCAACAAAAGGGTTCAATTTATTCTAAAAATAACAAAAGAAGATGTCAGGATAATGTGCAATACAGAAAGTCATGAAGTTATGCAATGGTCTAACAGCATAAAAACGCGTATCTAGGATCTTCATTTACATTAATACACATACTGTATATGGTTACACATACCCACGAGACATTTTATAAATACATTGATAATAACATTTTCAGCTTTGAAATCATTAACAAATAAGTAAAGGTTTAGTCTCAAAATTTTATGAAAACAAAAAGATACTCTTGAAATGGAACTAAAGTCTGCCAAAAAACTCCTTTCCTTTAATGTTAGCCATTTTTTGTGTGTGTGTGTACTGTACACTGCCTGGGGGACATGCATAGTCTTAGTCCACTCCCAGCATCTGTAAGATGTTGAGAATACAGCCGGATGCTAGGACAATGTGACATCATCAATTGCCACCCTATGGCCGAAGAAAGAAGTTGTCAGATGTGGATGAAGCAGTAGAGAAGATGACAACAGTGAAGGAGGAGAGAAAAGGTAGAGTGCTGACCAGTCACCATCGGAGGAGGGTAAACTAAAGCTTACCATACACCTATAGAATTTCTATAGATTTTCTATGGTCAGATGGAAAAAGTGCAACAGATTCTGCCATCTATGCCAAACTGTGTGGATGAAGGAATCTCCCACTGGGCCAAGCTTCAGTATCTTGCTAATAGGCCCCGCTGGCTCTCAAAATACCTGAACAACCTGATTGGATGCAAGCATTGTTCCGGTATTTTGTATTTTAACATACACATACTCAGTGGACACTATATAAAAAGGTACATATGCCTGTTAACACAAATTGCCAAAATGTAAATCTCACAGTATTTACCTTTTTTTCCAGCTTCATGTCCAGTTGCAGTTGAAGATGTACGTCTTGGTCTGGGTTAGTAAATTCTAACCTCTGGAAGGTTTTTAGCATCTCAACTGCTATTTCCGGCTCAATAATCGGCTTGGGGTAGTAACGAGCTACATAAACATCATCAACAGGTTTCCAGGCTGTTAAACCAAAGGGCTTGATGCGGCTTGTGTCTTTTCTTCTCTCTTCTAGCTCCTCCTTAGTTATAAACATTTTCTTTGGCTCTACATCTTTCTTAAGCTTTCTGGCTGGACTGCAAACAATGCAAATAGTTGGAAATAGACGTGCACCAAAATTAAATTTTGAAGCCGAAAATAAAAAAAAGTCAGGCCGATATCAAAACCAAAAATATTTTTTTTTTCTAAACCTTTAAAAAAAAAATTTTAATATTTCATTTTTAACTTTACTGCTGGGGGGGGTCTAATTAAAAGGGTATTTCACTTTTAAAATAGTAAGAGATTGAGGACACAGAGTCCTCAATCTCTTTTTCTGCAGCCCGTTATAAATAAACAGGAAGCCTCTATACTGAGTGTTCCTGGTCATTCATAACTTGTGGATATAGTATGAGTAACTATGTACACAATCATGAATGAATAGGAAGTGATATAGAGCATTTCCTATTCATTCATAACTGGTACATATTAACTCACACTATGTCCAGTTATTTACAAACATTCAGCCATCGCTGACTACTTGTACTGCTCTCCATCCTGACTCGCTGTCACAGGAGGCTGAGTCAGCAGTGCGGGGAGGAGAGCTCGCTCCATTTTGACAGTGCGCCCTCCTGTGACAGCTGTCTCCGCCCCCACACCACTCTCCATGCTGATCTGTCACAGGAGGCTGAGTGGGGCGGTGTGCGCTCTTCTCCCCGCCCCGCTCGTCCTCCTGGCAGTTTCCCTCCTCCCTGCTTGATGCTGCGCTGTGCCAGAGGGAACATTTTCGTCCAAAATGTTTCGGTGGCTGAACTTTCGGTGCATCCCTAGTTGAAAACACTCAAATATGTGGCCAAAGCACTCATTGGAGCCATTCAATGTTGTCAAGTGACACAAAGTCAAACATCATTTGCAATAAACAGGCAGTGTTTATTGTTAGAAAATATCAATGACTGGTAAGTGCTCAAAGTTCTTGTCTACATAGATAATTAAATAATTTCTCAAAGTAGCACTAAACCATCAACTTTTTTTAAATATATGCATTCTAAATAGTTAATTAAACATTCCCCGGTACTTTTTTTACAAAAACAGCTGCAGAAACACTTACACCGCTGCAGCTCCAGTTCTCACAATAGATTTTCCTTACTATCGGGTACAGAAACGCATGTCCTGTACACTTTACATCAACATTGCACTGCTCACAGCACAGACTGAAGCTGGTGTCTGTCACTCACTTGGAGGACGGAGGAGGGGAAAAGGCGGAGGGGCTTGGGAGTTGGACTCCCTGTTTCAAAGCATGCTGTGTATCGTCAGCTGGTAGCGCGCACGCAAAGCTGGCCCCGTGGCACCCTGTACAGTGATGGACCCACACGATAACAGGACCCAGGAAGGGGGGCATTTGGAGATGAAGATGACATTGCAAAGTTATACTTACAAAGGGAAATTGACACTAACAAATGGTAAGTGCTGATCTCTGCAGCACTATATGATTTCTCTTTATTTTTTTTAACGGTTTAATATCACTTTAACTTCACATGCACTGCAAATAAAGTGTGCCTTTATTGCAGATAAACAACAACTTAATCTTTACCAAATAGAAATCTAAGATAGAACTCCTACTCAGGTGCTTACTTAACTTTATGTTAAACCAGACCTGTATTTTGGGGGTTTTGGATAAATTAAGTAATTAGCCAAAACTCCTGTCAGGTTTTTTTTTCTGTCTATGTCAGAGAGTTTTCCTTTCACTTCCTGTCCTGGAGGCACAGCAGGAAGAAAGAGGAGATGCAGAAAGAAGTTAAACCAGACTAAGGTTCTAACTCTTTCACAGTCTATTCCAAACCCCCAAAAAAGTTTGGGCTTTACATACATTTTCATGACAGTAGCATCCTCCCTTGATGGTTCCAGAAATCTTCTCCAACTGTGGCCAAACCTGAGCATTAACTCCCATTAAGCCTGCATGGGGTACTACATTCCATGTGCTAGTAGAATGCTCTTTAAAACTATGGAAGTTGCCGCCTAGACACAAACAATTTTGAAGAACATTTTAGGTGTAAACATTTACGCAAGCCACCACTGCCATCATGACACCTAGTGTCACCTTTCCACCTCAATAGCTTTAGCTGGGGAATGTCAGCTAAGGCAGCTGAAAGTAAACATAGTAGGCAGTGGCTGGGAGCAATATCCAGCTTGCTATTGGCTATTTTAAAAATTGCAGTGGCCAAAAGCAGGCTGATTATTGCACCCACCCACTGCCTACTGTCAATTAGCAGAGGAGGGAACTAAAGGAAAAAGTCCTCCTTCAGGTCCTCCTCTGCTGATTAACAGCAGACAGTGGGCGGGTGCAATAATCAGCCTTCTATTAGCTACTGCAATTTAAAATAGCTAATGGCAGGCTGGCTATTGCTCCCAGTCGCTGAATGGGAGACTTAACACTGGCTTTCTACAGCCGGTAATAGATAGGAATAGAGGGCAGGGGGGAACAGCGGAGGAATGGGGGGAGCAGTGGAGGCATAAGCGGAGCAGTGGAGGCAGAGGGGTAATGCAGAGGCACAGTGGTCTCTCTTCCCCGCTGGTAGCCGGCTGCAGAAGTCAGTGTCTGATCCCCTAAGCCTCTGCTGATACAGGCAGGAGGGAGCAGCAGGGATAAAAGTGGACACAGACCACAGCGTGCAGCGACTCCCAGCCAAGAGGAGAACGGGAAGCAGAACTGATGCGGAGGTGGCGGCGGGGGACTGTGAAGGGGCTGTCAAAAGCCCAGACGGCAGGACAAAATTTCTAATCGCCATGGCGACCTGGCGCTCGGGTTTTGTCAAGCCCTGCGCTAGAAGGTGATACAAGCAGATGTGCTTAAAACTCATAAAGGCTTTAGCACAGTTTTAACTAGCTTATTAAACACTTTTGATGCACCTAACAAAGTTGCCTATATGCTTTACAACTTACACCAAAAATATACATTCGGAATACTTACATTTTAATGCCTGCTGGTATTGCGTAGAATCTTACAGCTGCCCAGTTTCTGTTACAACTTGTGGATAAAGGAATGCAGAATCCTGTCTGCTTCACAATATGCCTTTGACAGCCATAGATGACTAGAATATAAAACATATTATTACAGCAATGACGATTTCCAAATGCAGAACATTAGATAAAAATCTAGTGACATACAATATGACTTTGAAACCAATGTAGTGTACAAAGGCAACAGAATACTGCCTCTGCCAATCATCAAATGTTAAAATTAAATGTGGCTGGAACCTCCAGATAGATAATGAGTACAACACATATGCTATCGTGCCCTGTATCATTCAGCTACTCATACCTAGTGCTGGGTAGCTGAAGCTCTAGGATTTGACAGTATATGGCAAAATCTGGCAGAGATTCAGTCAATTCAACTCATACACAGTACAATACATTGTGCCCATTAGATGTCGAAAGGTATCACATCTATGAGGGTCTAACTGGCCACCCTCCCTAGTTCTAGGACTCCGATATGTTTGTGAAATTTTTCTTTTGTTTTCATGCAGTCACAAGACCAATAGCCCTCCGCTAGGTCAGGGGTGGGCAAACTCCAGCCCTCCAGCTGTGGAGAAACTATGAATCCCATAATGCATCTGTCTCTGGGAGACATTTCTTTAGCAGTGAGAATCTTGCACAGCCTCATGGGATTTGTAGTTCCACGACAGCTGAAGGGACAAGAGTTTGCCCACCCTAGCCTAGGTTGTTTGCAGAGGCTGTGCAAGCAGAACTTTATCTACTGCTTTCTCCATGGCTTGACGCCAAAACCAGAAATGACATTGCCACTGAGCTGAAAGTGCCTGGGTGAGTAAATAAAGACCTGTGGACAGCAGAGGCTGCCTGCATGTCGGTAAACAAATAAGGTACCTCTAATTATGTGTGTCTCATTGATGGCTTTATCCCATTCTTAACAAAAACATGTTACTCACATGCAGCCTCTGACAGTGATGTCACCAGCAGTGAAACTGACAGTCGGGGCTGGAGCACAGCAATCACAGCTTGTTGCTCACTCTGCAGCTCCTCCAGTCAGAAAACATCTTGAAGAGAATTTATCAAAACTGGAGCAGACAAAATCTGGAGCAGCTGTGCATGGCAACCAATTCGCTTCTCTCTTCGGTTTGTTCAGTTAAGATTAAAAAAAAAAAAAAAAAAAAAAGCGAGAAGCTGATTGGTTGCCATGCACAGCTGCTCCAGATTTTGTCTGCTCCAGTTTTGATAAATTCCCCTCCTTGTATTCTTTTTAAAGCATACAAGGTGATCCCTGATTAGACAATGGGAGATTGTAATGTTCATAAGTCCCTTGTCACAGAATGCCTTGTATTCTTTGAAAAGAATAGAAGTCATTTTATGAAGGTCCAGGGGGGTAACCGACAGTCAGGGCTGGAGCACAACAATGACAGCACAGCTTCTCCATTCAAAATACCTCTTGATTGATGTGCTTCAGTCATGACTGTCCGTTTCCCCGCTGGTACTTCAGTGGTGACCTCACGTCAGAGGCTGTATGTAACATTTTTCAAGAAAGAAGCAGCAATCACAAGTGAAGCACACATCATTTGAGGTACCTTACTGGTACCTAGTTAATGCCCCAATAAAGTGTTAGCCCACACCAGCTTTAAAGAGGAACTGCGGGCACACATTTTATTGCACTGCAAGTGTTAACTGCTCATTTTTGCCTAGGGTAAAAAAAAAAAGTTACACAAACCTGAGCCTCTGAGCCGACCGGCTCTTGGAACGGTCTTTGAAGCCTCTCTTCCCCTACTCTGCAGTGGTTCGGGAATGCTTGCGTCATCACATACTATGCACAGTGTATTGGATGTGAGGACACCGAGGGACAACCCATCACTGCAGCGGAGGAGAGAAAAAGTTATACTCACCCAATCCTCGGAGCCAGCAGCACTCTGCTGCTGGCTCCGGGGACTGGGTGAGTATAACTTTTCTTTTGACCTTAAGCAAAAAAGAGCACTTAACCCTTGTAGTGCATGGGGTAGCCCCACTGCAAGGGTTAATAAATTTACTACCCAGCGTTCTTCTTTAAGTGCAACTGAAGATAAAACTGTTTTAGATAAAGTGGAGAGGGATTAGAACCCATTAGGTTTTATTGCTGTCTGTGTCCCCCTTAGCGAAATTCACCCTCTATATTTGTCCTCCGTTATCACTAAGGGCTCATTCAAACAAGAAACGGCGGGCACGTACAGCTCCGTGCACGGCCGTATCGGGCAGCTCCCGGGAAGGACAGGTGCTGCGTGTGATTAGTACCCTTGTCCTTCTCTATGGGACTACGCAGCCCTACGCTCACCCGCCCTGCACGTCCATGCGGGTGTGGGTGAGCGTACTCGTACGCCGACAGGATGAATCCTGTCTGCGTCCAAGCAGGGACACATGCACCTGTACGGACCTGCACTTGAGGTAAGCGTAGGGGGGCGTATGGCCGCGTACTCCCATAGAGAAGGACAGGGGCTGAGTACTAATCATACGCAGCACCTGTCCTTCCCGGGAGCTGCCCGATACGGCCGTGCACGCGGCATGGAGCTGTACGTGCAGGCCGTTTCTAGTGTGAATGAGGGATAAAAGTGAAAGAAAATCCCAAATTTGGACTGTCACCAGAACAAGAATAAATGGTAAATCTTCCAATGGGGACACTAGTTCTGGTGACCCTGATGACCACCAGGAATTCCCTCTCACTTCCTGTTGCGTTTATTGGACAGAAAGTGAAGAGAAATTTTCCCAATAGGACACAGATGACCGGGATTACAACCCTCCCATACTCTATCCAAAATTTTAAAAAAGTTTGCCTTCAGGTTTTACTTTAAGTAAATACAAATAATGTTTTTTGCTCCTACTGCAAAATTAAAACTTTAAATATTGCACATCAACACAGCAAAAAGCATTAGAAAAAGGGTGCCAATGCAGTTCACTTGGCACCTGTCAACATGCTCTAAATGCAACAAGGTGGTGTGAACCCAGCCTCACTGATTTGGGACAAGAGCACAAATGAAGAAAATCAGAAATTCTCAGTCAGTGACTGAAAAGACTGAGAGAAGCCAGAGGGTCAGCAGTGGAAGCCCCATGTGTCCTTTGCGAACACATAAATAAACGTGTAACCCGGCAGACGTGATTGTTATAGAGCAGAGGGAACCTGCTATGTGACAAGACATGCCTTGCTGGTACAGAGATGGCCACTGACCTGTACGCAGGCAGTACATGGAAGCAGCCATGACCTAGAAGAGAAGAGGGGCTGACACAGGAAAGGGAAGAGTGACAGCAGCGTTACCGGAAAAGGCCGGCCTAAGAGCAGGAAGAAAAACACTCCGCCGTCTCGTACAAGCCGCCGTGTGGAAACAGAGACCGGAAGTCACGTGATAGAGCGTCTCACCTCACCTCGCTGAGGGTTGTGTGCAGGGAACAGCGGGAAGGGAGATAGTGACTTCAAGAGGATAAAGTATAGTGACGACAATATGATAGTGTGACGGGTATTGTAGTGGATGTCCAATGGTGATAATAAAGGAAGGATACATGAAAAATAAAGATGATATATAGTGGCTGAAGACGTGGATCTAATACGTGTTACCACACAAGATCTTTACTATGGTTGCTGAACATGATTTGCAAGGACAGATGTGTGGAAGATTTGTCCCAGGGTCTCTACTTTGGAGAATTGACCATTCATAGTATAGTCAACTTTCTTTTTTACTTGAGGGCCCGTTTAAGCTAACTTTATACCTAACCGTTGAGGTTCATGCGGTAACGCACTTGTGTTAAGGTGTTCTGCATTTGTCCTTGTTCACACCTAAACAACAGCGTTTTTAGGCATTTTTTTTCGAGCTTTTTTGAGCTTGTGTTGGATTGCAAACATGTCCTCATCAATGGTGCGGTTCATGGCGGTTGCAGTTACCACAGTGCTGCTTCTTGAATATGAGGAGGAGAGGAGAAGGCGGAAGCGGAGGCACTGGGTCCACCCGGTGATCGCCAACCAACAACAGCGAGGCCAGTTCTGGGCCATGTACAATGAACTCCGCGTGAATGAGAAGACATTTTTTGAGTACGCAAGGATGTCCATGAAAAGGCGAGTTCAGATGCTCATGCCCTTTGTGTTTGTGTTGGGTTTGTGACCTTGCTCATGCATTAGTGATTCTATCTTGAATAAGGCATGTTCAAGGTGACATTCAGGGGAATTCCTCAAAACTATAGCACACAGAATCTGGCACAGTTGCCCATAGCAACCAATCAGCTTCTCTTTTTGGTTTTGTTAAAAGAGAAGTATGGGGTATCCTTTTTATCCCATAGTTCTCTTCAGGGTCACGGGAGGACATATTCTAACATCCTCCCGTAACCCAAAGCTCAGTATACATGTGAAACTCGAATAATTAGAATATTGTGCAAAGTTCATTTATTTCACTAATGCAACTTAAAAGGTGAAACTAATATATGAGATAGACTCATTACATGCAAAGCAAGATAATTCAAGCCGTGATTTGTCATCATTGTGATGATTATGGCTTACAGCTCATGAAAACCCCAAATCCACAATCTCAGAAAATTAGAATATTACATGCAATCAATAAAACAAGGATTGTACATAGAACAATATCGGACCTCTGAAAAGTACAAGCATGCATATGTACTCAGTACTTGGTTTGGGCCCCTTTTGCAGCAATTACTGCAATTACTTTTGCACGATATTCTAATTATTCGAGTTTTACCTGTATAGCAAGCTATTGCTCACTATTTACCGAGTGTGCCGCAGCCGGGACGGATCCTGACAACGCTGTCG